CAGGATTATAGAATCATCGATGGTTCTGGCCAACGAAAGCTCCTTTCTAACAAAAGAGGAACGATTCATCGGTGGGTAATGGAGATCCACCCGTCCTCGTTGAGCCGTGGCCTTGTTTTTTTTTTTTTTTTTTTCTTTTCGCGAGAGATGAAGCTTTCAAAAGGAAGAAGAACTGTCCTTACCTGTTGTTTACTTAATGCCTGTTTCGGGCCAGCCAAGCGCTTGTCCTATTTCCCTCCTGGGGTAAAAGAAAAAGCAAAGATGGACAGCGACGGGAGTCAACGAAGCAGCAAAACAAAAACAGTCCACAAAGAGGAACGAACAAAAAGAAAAAAGCCAAAAAAAAAAAAAAAAAAAGAAAAAAAAATTAACACATAGGACTGTGTGCACTGTGCAGCAGGGGAATCGTGAACTGCAACCAGAAGTTCCAGACAGCCCGCTGCGGTGAAATGACAGCCAGTTAGATAAATCTGATGGTTGATTCTCCAAGAGCAAGTGGGCGACCCTTGTGTGGTTGGTGGACCAGACAGGTGTCAAAAGGGAAAAATGAAGACTCCACTGCCAAAAAGGTTTCCGGGCGCCGCAAGATCACGAACGCAGCCAAAACGGTTGTCTTGGAATATCCTTTGGTGGGAGAGTTCGGAAGCGCCTCAACCGACCAGGACAATCAGCCAAAAGTACTCGACACGTTTCCCTCGAAATTGATCTTGCGGGGGAGATACGGAATAGACAATGGGCTCTTGCCGTTCCCTTTGAGCTTCATCATCTCGCAGTTCCACTTCGCCAAGTGGCAGCGGTCATCTGGGGGATCAAGGACGCCGATGATGGTCAAAATGATGATGATGATGAAACGGTGCATCCAGCTCAAACAAAGAACTGATCTTGCGATCAATCATTTCTTTCGGTGGGGCTAAGCTGTGTTGTCCTGCTCAGGCGTCATATAATGATCATCGTAGAGCAAAAGTACGTGCCGTATTGCCAGCGTGCTGAGATGCTCCTGTAGGTACGGGAGTAAACGCTGGGCAATCGGAAAAATGGTGAGGACGAAGATCTGATCAACGACACACCTTAAGTCATTGCCGACGTCGTTTAAATAGTCTACATCTACGCAGCTTCTTTTCCTCTTCCTCATCAACGACTTTAAATCCTGTTTGGCGGGGATCTGTCTCATGCATGTAAATCATTCTCGGATAAGTCAACTGTTGCGACTATTGCTTCGTCATTCGTAGTCACGGTCCAGATTAAGATCCTTAATCCACCGAAAATGACGGCAAGGAATGGCTAAGGAAGTGGCTAAGGAAGTTGTCTCGGAGAGAAAGAAGCAAAATGAAGTCACAAGGCCAGCTCAATACCAGATGGCTACGATTGAACTTGCACCTATCCAAAAATTTCCTTTTGATTGCGCGATGAAGCGTCTCAACCCTAAAGAATTGATAGCAAGGGTCAAGGACGACTAGAATGTCGATTGGGTTTAAGACATTTTCCCCAAGTCCCGAAAAGGAGGTCCCTCGAAACGAGGGTGCCCGTCCAGGGATAAATAGTCTCGCGGACTAGAGAATAAAACTGTGGGAATCGTGGGGTGTCAACTGTCAACCGCATCTCCCGACACCTCAATTTCCATGAAAGAACTGCTGCAGTAGCGTGGTAATTAGCCTCATTCGAGTCTCGATAGACCGAGTGACCGAGGAGACCGTGACTGAGAAGCCGTTTGGTGGTCTGCCCCTTATCTAGATTTCAGGTGATCTGATGTACGGTAAAACTTTCGCCTCCATCGCGTGTGGGCTTGCCGGCAAAACACAAGTTCAAGCTTCTCGGGCGAAGGGGAAATCCGGAGGATCTCTATCTTTGTTTATTCTCATTTCCACCCGCTCTTCCGCTGCCATATGGGGCTGGAGGCGCTGCTAGACAGGGAGAAGGTGACTGCCAGAACCAGTCTGGTCATGTAAAGCCGCTCTCCAGGGATTTTTCCCCAGCAGAAAAGGTGACCTCAAATATAAATCATCATCACGAAGCCTCGCCGAGTCGTCGTCGTGCGAGAATCGGCTGATTCTCGCTTCTTCGGCCGGGCACGGGTACATCCCCACACGTGATCCCCGGGTCTCCGCAACAGCAGCACAGTACTCCGTAGTGACTGATTTAGTATCGTGTCGTCTTCCCATCGGTTGAGGGAGATTCTCTTCAAATAGAATGCATTGTAGCAGAAGCATTGAAACTCCTTAAATCATACGACACACTCGTGAAATCGTGCCCTCATACCACTTCCGAACAAGCATATTTTCCTCGTCCGCATGCCCATCCCCCTCGAGCCCCTCTTCCCCTCACTCCCTCCGAATCAGAGCTTCCAGAGCTCTTACCGCCCTGCGCTCTCCCTTGTGACTCAACAACCTCGGCAGCCGACGTCCGGGGTACCTCGACCGCTCTCTTCTCTCCCATCACCATCGTGTGCATGCCAACTCAGGTTCCCATCGCATTTCCTGTTGTATCATTTGGATTCTCTGGGTTAATAAAGCGTGCACATCAGGCCGTCCGGCCTGTATTTGAAGACGACATGTGGAAACCGTCGGAGAGACTGATGGAAACCATCAGACATTATGCGAGCTTCCCCGCCACAGGTGTCTCTCTCCGGCAGATGGTCCAGTTTGGTGACAGACCATCGACAGGTATGTGCATCGATCTAGTTCTCCTAGGATATACTTGAAGACGTTCAATTGGGCAGCAGCCAGGGCTGATCTCATTGTCCGTCGGTTGGAGCAGGGACTCTCTTTCGTGCCTCACAATTTCTCTCCGAAGAGTTACCTATTCGCTTAGCACATCGCGTTCAGGATCTTGGAGAACTTCCTGATGGATTGAGTGAAATGCCATCGATCAAGAAGGTGCAGGACTGGTATGCGCAGTCGTTCGAGGTATGACTCCACGCTTTACGCCTCTTGCCCCAGTGATGGGTGCTCACGTGCTCCGCAGGAAATCATCAACCTGCCCCGACCAACTCTTTCTCAAGAAGTCAAAGCTCGCCTCTTACGCCCTGGGAAGGTGAATGGCGGCTTTTCTAAAATTCTTTCCGAAACTACGCAGAATCCCAGCATCAAGGAAGGGCAGTATCGGTCGTCCCCCACGAACGGGAATGGCAACGGGAAGGGGCATGTCAGCCGAAGATACTTCTACCCATCCGATGACCAAGGCCATTGGCCACCCGAATTGAACGACTACAACCAACGGTTTGCGAAGACTTTGCAGCATATCAAACGGCGACACGACAGTGTCGTGACCACCGTAGCCCAGGGCATCTTGGAATGGAAGCGAAAACGCCAGCGTTTACAAATTGATTCTACTGTCCAGTCATTCTTAGATCGCTTTTATATGTCCCGTATCGGTATACGAATGTTGATCGGTCAACACATCGCCCTGACGGAACAAACGCATGTCCGCCATCCGAACTATGTCGGTATCATTTGCACCAAGACAAATGTTCGGGAGGTCGCACTCGAAGCCATTGACAATGCTCGTTTCGTCTGTGAGGACTACTATGGTCTTTTTGAAGCTCCAAAGATCCAGCTCATCTGCAAGGACGATCTCAACTTCATGTACGTTCCCGGTCACCTGTCACACATGCTCTTCGAGACTCTCAAGAACTCGCTGCGTGCTGTGGTGGAGACCCACGGCGCGGACAAGGAAGCATTCCCTGTGACAAAGGTCATCGTGGCAGAAGGAAAGGAGGACATCACCATCAAAATCTCCGATGAAGGTGGTGGCATACCCCGTTCTTCCATCCCGTTGGTGTGGACATACATGTACACTACCGTGGATCAGACGCCCAATCTGGATCCGGACTTCGATAAGAACGACTTCAAAGCTCCCATGGCTGGCTTTGGGTACGGATTGCCAATCAGTCGCTTGTACGCTCGGTACTTTGGTGGGGATCTCAAGTTGATCAGTATGGAAGGGTAAGCACAATAATCCCCCCCTCTTTTTTTTTTTTTTTACGAAGATCAAGTTTGTCTCGGACTCAGGCACTGACATTATTTGCAGATATGGCACAGATGTCTATCTCCATCTGAATCGGCTCTCTTCGAGCTCGGAGCCCCTGCAATGACAATTACCAGTCATGAGGGACGGTCGTGTTCGGTTCTCCACTTCCCACAGACTGCATCCTTTTTACTCAGAACCCGATCCGCCGCCGTCCCAAGGATTGACGCTGATGAACATTCAAGCCGCCCGAATGCGAAACAGGGAAGTCTCTGAGCGCAAACAGGTTGGTGATGCTGAAAGCATGCTCAACACCGAAAACTTGAGCTCGTAAGAGCCGCTACCACACCTGCTTGCTGTTTGGACATGCTTGTCGAAAAGGTAGATACCTGCGATAACGGGAGATTTGCTGATCTCAACGTGTATTGTTGCAAAGTGCGCTGGAATATTAGGAACTACTCGATTGTCAGCATCTGGCTTCAGTAGGATTCCATGCTGAACAATCGAGTATTTCCTAATATTCCAGCGCACTCCTTTCTTTCTATTATGAGAAAGAGCAGGACTTTTTTCTTCAGCTTATCTGATACAACTCGCATACGAGGTAAATATGTGAATGTTTGTACTAGAAATTTCTAGTGAGAATTCGCAAAAGGGAAAGGGGAAAAGCTCATTTTTGATACCCCATTGAGATTTTTCAGTGCGGCAGTTGTCGGGAACTGGCAAAAACTTGGTGTTGAGTGGTTTGAAGTGATCTGGGTCTGCATTGTATATATGAGATGGCTAGACCATGATGTACGGCTTTGGATTCACTATTTTTGGCGGTCTCATTGTTCTTGTGTTTGCGAGGTTCTCGTTTTGGGCCATGTATAGTATGTTACATTATGGGCGGAATGGGGTTCATGGGTGTGGTATGTTACGGCATATATCAACATATAACAACGCACAGCTTGAGCAGAATTTTCCCAATCCGATCCGATCTCATGGTATCATCAATATTACAAAGTTAGTAACAGCAGACTACATAACTGAAACAAGAATCAAGGCGAAAACCTCTGCATAGAAGGAGACCCCGGATCATCGCGCTCAGCACCGCTCCATCTCCGCCTCCTCTCCCTCTCCCGCTGTTGCTGCTGCTGCCGACTCGCCGATACCTTGGCTTTACTCCGGGCCCGATCGGGGGTCTCCCTGCCCTTCTTCTTAGACGCCGAAGCAGGCGACGAAACGGCCGACCCGGGCCCAGACCCCGACCCCGACCCCGCGTCGGGACGGCGCCAGCCCCCATCGTCCGTCTCATGGACATCGACGATCCCCCGGCTGACTGTCATCGGGACCGACGAGGAGGACGACGACGACGACGCAGTCGTCGACGGATGCTGAATGATGAAGCGGTCCGCGCGGATCTTGGCCGCCTCCTCGGGGTCCCCCGGTGCAAGGAGTTTAGATAAGAAGCGGCGGCGAGCTTGGGGGAGGGTCTGCTTCGTTTGTTAGCATATACATGCAACTATACATATCACCATCTCTGTCATGATTCATGAGAGATTCTGGACAGGGAAACGGAAGCGGGGACGCACCTCTTGATTAGCTAGTGCTTGCAGGGTGAGTAGTTCGCGGTCCAGGAGCACGCAGAGCGCGGCGTGCCGCTCCTCGCGCAGCCGGCTGCGGACTTTCTTTTCCTGCTCGAGGGTGGTGTGCCAGGCTGGGTAGCCGGGGCTGGGCATTCGGCCTGCTGAGGCGTTGTGTCCTGTGTGCTTTGATCAGAATTGGTCCAGATGTTGGTATGGATTGTCTTGGGGTGTGGTTGGGATGGGAATGTCACTGTACCGTATGCCATGAGTGAGTGTTGAGGATGCTGGGCAGGTGCATAGTCCACCTGCATTCCGCCGTTGTCGTCGTCGTCATCATCGTCCTCGATGACAATGGGACGGCCGTGGTATCCCGTATTGGGGATGTTCGGGTTGAACATGCTGTGATGAGTCTGCTTGCCTTGGTTTGTGGTTTGTTTAGTTGAGGTTGGCCGTGAGCGGATCGACAACCGGACGGTTGATGGTGACTTAGATATAAGGGAGATGGTCCCTCCGTGGAAATAAAGCGAGACGGATGAGATTCAGTCAGTAGATAACGCTCGGGTCCTAACTTCACATAGAAAAAGCTAAGGATGCACTCCAAGGGAAATAGTACTGTAGGTTGCCAAAGAGCTCAGGCGTGGCCAATGCGGGGAAGACTAGATTGGGAAGACCATACGCAGTGGTGTCCACATCTTTTGCTCAGATAATCCCATTAAAGGTAGATTTGCTGACGCAACCAGGATATCTCACCAGGAGACAGTCGAATATCTGTGCTCGAGAGTAATGAAAACACCGTGGAAGAAGAACAGCGCAATGTGAGGTGGCACAATGGTCATGAATTTGCTTAGTCACCTCACATAACAAAGGCATAATGCCGTTGGCCTGATTTCTTACTCTTATGCTTACAATTTACAACTAGAATATGAGGACCTGTGAAAATTGACGCCGAAAATAACTGCTACTGAGGCTATAAACAGCCGCATTTCTACCTATAATTTCCCTCAGCGAGCTGCTGCTTTAGCACTTGAGTATGTGCTATACACCACTATTCTGTACCTGCTAAGCATTATTTAGTCACTGTCCTAAGGTGACAAACCTTAGTGAGCATTTACTCTGTTTTAACTTATGACTAGAAGTAATGCTGATAATGGCCTCCTCTCTAGCTAGATCCAGCTCCCTTAAATTTAATGAGATTACCTATATGCTGTATAAAATGGCGCCAATCCTTACTCCTTTATTTTCCCCCCACGCACTTTTGTGCCTTCCTCCTACTTTAATGCCTTCCACATCAATCCGCAAGTTGATAGCTGCTTAAATTACTTCAGAAAATAATTATTTTTCCCTTAGATTTGGATCTTGATGTCACTGCCTCCTCTCCCTCCCACAGATCCTAGTAAGCATTAATACTGGACCGACCTGATCCTCTGTGAAGAAACTTAAACTAGGCTTGACCGCTTGAGCATTTCTACAGCCTTTAGATAGCTACCCCTGAACTTTAAACCCAAGATATTGGAAGGTCTTGCAGTGGTTAAAAGATACTGGTAAAGGTATGTACATGTCTTCTTAGACTACTGCAGGGATTATATATCCTTAATATACTGCTGACAGATTTTGTATCTATTTAAAAGAGGACTACGTGGAGTATTTACTCTTAGAGGACTAAACAATCTACATGAATTTCTTTAATTAGATGTACAGGACCTCGTGAGTACTAGCAATGACTTTGCTAATACTTTGGTCTGTTTGCACAGCGCCATCTGAATGGTAATGTCTATGAACAGATGTGATGAGTATATTAGTTATTCTTAGTCCTAACAGCTCCACTATTAATATCAGCAGTAGTTCCTGAATTAAGTATTCCCTGCAGAGTGAAAGATCACCAGGCGTATGAAGGTGAGGTGAGGTGAGGTTAATTAAGGTGGGTTGAGGTGGAGCAGTGGTAGATCTCTTATATGAGCTTGTGCCCCAGCCTCTTGACTAATGCGCTGCGCCTGCATCACAAAACCCACCTTACTGGTCAGTGCGCCCGCAAATCACCTGAAGAGGATTGATAGATTGGTTGATCATTTGATAGTGAGACTGTATGGTCGAGCGCAGGGACCATGACCGTCTCAGGTTGCTCTGTGAACAAGTTCAGCACCTCGAGCAGGGAGAATAGCAGTCTTGTCCAGGCTCCGAGATAGGTGTTTAAGCCTTGGGTCTTGTTTCAGACTCGCATGTGATTCGCTATCATACCCCTGAGGCATCCAATCTAGGCTGTGCTACTTCATCGGATAGTATCTTAACCTTGCAAGTAACATGTTGGTGGCTATTTGGAGGGATCCAGGACAGAGACCAAGTGACTTCTTGCAGGCTTTATTTTCAGCCTTGCCAAAGACTCGCGTATAAATGTTCTCTGACGATCTTCTTTCATGCGGGGAGTAGTGGGGAGTGATGGGGTTGGGTGTGACGCCCCCTGCATACAACAACAGGAGCAGGCGGTCTATGCACCCTGGGGGTACCCCATATCTTTAAGAATACATGATTGAGAATACACGGGATCAACAGGCATCATTAGCCACTTTGTGGACAGGTTCTTCGCGAGTTCGAAGAGGCTAGTTCCTCAGAATAAGAAAAGTTACCATAAACATCACACCTAACTGTGCAGTTGTGAGGCGTCCGATGGCGCATCGCTTCTTCAACCAACAACCCACCATAGCCTGGCTAAGAATACACTACTGGGAATGAATCTAATCAAGCCATGCTGCACCCTCTATTAACTCCGCGTACCGCTGTCAGTAATTTAATATCCCTGTCGAGTATGATCACCTCGACGAATGGGCTGCGGTTTGAGGATTTGTTGGCTAACAGGTAGGCGTCTACAGCAGCCAATAGATCCGGAAAGATGCAGCTTCCTTCTGAAGAGGGTATGTAGTTCTCCCCATTCAACAGCAGGGCGGCTCAAACTGGAAAAGGGAGAGAAATAGCGGTACCTTATGGTTTAATGGATCTGGTCACTTTGCCTCTGTCCACAATGCAATGCTTCAGCTATAAATGATGCTCCAATACCCGCAATGTCCTGAAATCTCGTTATTGTTCATGCCCATAGCCTCTCATCCTTTTGCGCCAATTTCTAACGATCGCCATGTTTCGTACTGCGATCCTCAACTATCCTCTCAAAGCCATTAGGTGGTTTAGAGAGGACATCTACAAAAACAGCCCTGATAAGCGCGCAGAAGCAGAGGGGGCAATAAAAAAGTTTTATGACGCAAACAAAGCGAGCATGGAAAGACGAGGAGTCGCCGAAGCGATTGTCAAGTGAGTCCAGACCTAATAGCTCTCCCGAAGTGGATGTAACTACTAACGCTCATAGGGGACCAAAACATAACGACCCCAGAAATCCTGATCCTAAGGGTGACCACTGGACCGTGGAGTTGATCAAAGAAAGCGGGGATTTCGTGACGAAGAAGCATGTGTATCCTGAAGATGAGAAATGACCTATAGCTGTCTCATGTGATGTCCTGGCACAGTTTCCAACGGAGAGGCTATGGAAGAAGCTTCCATGCCCCTCTACCTATTCATTCTTTCTCCATCTTACCTTAGCTTTTACTTTCATTGAGTTGAGGGCGGTGTAGTCCGCTTAACATTGCTTATTGGCTATGGTTAATAAATGATGGGCCCGTGGTAATCCAATGAGCTGCTTGAAGAATTATTAGGCACGTTGTTCAAAGACCAGTTAAACCCCAGTAAACTAAAACAGGTTGCTTACGTCTCTTACTCGAATGAGACCGAAGGTTATACACTTCATTTTACCAGATAAGCTGACCCTTCCAAGCCTCTTGATCCTTGGATTATCTGGTGTCAGAAAGCGGATTATATTCTCGCCACTAAATTCTTCCCCTAAACTCAGCGGGTTCACGTGGCTTTCCTGGCCTCAGCTGCATTGTCACGTGTAGTCTTCGTCGTAATGTACACCATCCCCGCTCCTCCAGGGGTTCCTTCTCCGAGAGTCCCATATTTCGCGACGTCCTATTGAGCGTCCTTGTCAAACTATGACTTCAATAAAAGCGTCCTTAACAAATATTCGGTCCCGGATATCGAAGCTCTTTGGGTCACCTTCTCACTTCGCATCATTGGAGCGTGTGAACTCATACCCTGTCGCAGAAGAACCAGACTATTACAAAGCCGGGGGTTTCCATCCCATTTCCCTAGGTGACACCCTCGGTTCTGGTCAATACACTGTCCTGAGGAAATTGGGATATGGGCAGTATTCCACAGTTTGGCTTGCTAGGGATTATAAGTAAGTCACCCGTCGCCGTTCGTACGCGAAACTAACCGATGGCTTAGACATCAGAGATTCGTGGCACTTAAGGTACTGAGGGCGGACTGTTACGGCGGGTCTCATGATATCTTCGAGAGAGAAATCCTACTGAAAATCCTGGAGATCTCTGGGAAAAGCTCTCACGAAGGTCGCAACTATGTGTCAGGCCTTCTGGACCATTTCAAACAAAAAGGGCCTAATGGACATCATGTGTGTTTTGCATTCGACGTACTTGGCCATCATCTAGATTTTCAGGCTGCCAAATACGAAGATGGGAAACTGCCCGTCAAGGCGGTGAAAATAATTTCACGGCAGCTTCTGCTTGGGCTCGATTTCCTTCACAGAGAGTGTGGCATCATACATACAGGTATCCCCTAGGATGTCCTATTAATATACGGACTATTGTTGTATGCTGACGTTGTCTGACGTTCGGATAGACTTAAAACCAACGAATATCCTTCTCGAGCTGGAAAATCCGAACGATGCCGTTGCCCAGTACTTGTCGGCAGTTCCCCCGCGGACCGATCTTCGACGTGGTGTAACAACACCACTCCGGGAGGTTATCTCGACACCGCTCATCTCGGAAATGCAAAAGCCTCATGCCAGGATCATCGACTTTGGCGTGGGTAAATGGGCCATTTTCTGCTTCCATTTGGATATATAATTAACTTATCTGAAGCGTCTTGGAGGGAAAAACATCTGTCAGACCTAATCCAGTCGCCCGCTATGAGGGCGCCTGAGGTGACTATCGGCGCTCCTTGGGACATTGGAGTCGATATATGGAGTCTCGGATGCCTTGTAAGTATCTGTTCTTGACCATGATGCAGTTTGCCCTGTGTTGACTTCGGCTATCTGCAGATCTTGGAGTTTGTTCAAGGAATAATTCCTTTCTCCGGGGAAGCATCGAGAAGTGGGTCATGGACTGCTGAAGACGATCACCTGGCAAGGATTATGGAGGTCCTTGGCCCGTTCCCACTTCAGTTTATTAAAAGGGGGAATCGCGCACCGCACTTTTTTGACGAAGAAGGTATATTCTACTGAGATCTTAGATGTTGCCATTCTAATAAGGGTTGGTTGCAGGCAATCTTCGTCGAATTCCGAACTTAAAACCCACGAGCCTTGAACATCTGATAAACAGCACAACAAAACCTTTCCTGAAACCTCGCGATATGGCCGATGCTGAAGTCCCTGTGTTCGTCGATTTCCTTAGATCCATGCTTGCAATTGATCCCGAGTCTCGAAAATCGGCGGCAGAACTACTGCAACACGAATGGATTAATCTGTAGTAGCCAGGAAATAGCTGGGGGCGGAGGGTCTCGGATGTACGTCTGAAATATGCCATATTGTGCAGAAGTCAGAAAGTTAAGGATGGAACTCCGATCGGCCGCGAGAATTACCGACCGGATAACTAGTGAGGCATTTATGCCATTGGAATTATTTCACCGAGGCATAACGTCGTCGTCATCTGGGCAACCCAAGCGCATACATGGCCCATCGTGTGCACATAATTAGCGCAAAGGTGACGCGGGAACCAGTGACTGAGAAAAGACGAGGCGAGTGAGGGGCAGCAGTAAAGCAACGAGCACCAACAGTTGCAGAATACGTCGGATGGTAAATGTCAAGGACAGTTGAGGCTGCGACCAGTTCTATTTAAGCTCCCGTTCCCAGTTCACCTCTCAGAGCAGAAAAAAGATCGGCGGATCATTCTCCACAGGCGAATCCACTGCCCAAGTGTCCGCGGACGATCATTTGACTTCTACTATGAGTACTCTGGATCATTGGTCATAGAAAGTATCAGATAATCCAACCTATATTAACTATCCAACTGAAAGCTCTGTAAAAGTGTCAGAATTGGGAGGCTTCACGAGTATAGCAACGATAAATGCTAATTTCTAACCAGTATGAGATACAGAATCGAGTATGTAGCAGCACCTGAGTGCCACAAGCCATGGGTTTTGCGCGATACAAAGGAGACATTCAGCATGACTTGAGATCTGCAAGATCGTCAGACCTCCGTCAGAAAGATTTACACGCCTAACACCAAAATGTAATGCTGATAAAATAATCGTGCGCGAGGTCAACAAGGAACAACACCTTCGTAGGCGAGTCTTTGTTGGCAAAGTAGCCGGGAAAACATAGACAGGCGAATTGAGTAGGTCTTCTAGCCATCATGGCAAGGATGCGAAAATAAATGGTTCTAAGGTAAATTGACGAAAATATTATGGGACTCGTGAACACCCGTGTATGAAAGAATTGTTCGGCCACTTGTATCCGGCGTCGGCCCTAGGAGAAGTCAGAAATACATCGGGAACGTGGGTCAGAGATGAGAGAGTAAACGTACCATGTCGTTGTGTTGGCATTGCGGTAGGCTTTCGGGTGCTTCGAAATGTATTCGGTCGTCTCATAGCCCAGAGGGTCGCAAGTGACACTGATGTTGTCCGGATCCTGGTAAATCCGAATATAATCGAACCGCATGATACCAGGCATATAGTTTCTGATTGTGTCATTGATGGCCGCGAAGTTGTAGGCCATGCCCAAGTTCATGACGACGGCCATCGGCTCAAGCGGAATCATGCGCTGGCCAATATTACCATTAGGGCCAATGGCTCTAGCATCCAAGGTCCAGGTTTTATGGGCCCCGACAAACCAGGTGATCTCTCCTTCATCGCCGGGTGTATATTCAAAGGCGTAGACCTGGTACTCCTTGCCATTGTACCACTTATTGTTCAGATTAGTGAGACCGGACATGGCTTGCTGATAGGGACCTCCTCTATAATCGTTGATTTGCGTTATGTGGCGATCATATACAGCCGTGAATTCTGTAGTTTGTGAGCGTGAGATCAATATCTCTGCTGCAAGATAGTGGTCTTCGTGATCAGGGACAGTCGAACTTACCGTAATCAGGCATGTACCATATGTCAAACGGCGCCATCTGCAAACTCTGAGAGACAGAGCCAATAACTGCATTTGGGTTATTGTTCAGGGCAATCACACTTGCCTCGATCACATCGATCTCTGGCGCACTTCTTGATTTCCCAGGGCTTGGGTGTTCCTCGCCTGCGCAGGTACACGCAGGCAAGCGCATCCCAGGAAGGTAACTGATGCCATCGGTGGAACTCTGGTTTGGTGTGATGCCCGCATCACACTTATCATGATAACTGTATGGCCACACTCCTTCTGTGGTTGCAGCGTACCCAGGCCGTGCCAGGTTCCCCATCGCCCAGAAACCGGGCCAGAATCCAGACACATCACCGGCACCCGGCAGGGATATGCTTGCTTCCAGGCGCCCCCCCGAGAAGCACAGCTTGTTCCAGCTTTGTACCATTCCCGATCTGTATTTCAGTTCATGGTTAGGAAGGGCATCGAAACGGATCTCCAGGACCCCATCTCTGGTCGTTACCGCATCTGGGTCGTACCACTGCAGAGACGTCAGCCTGAACTTCAGTTGGCTATACACGTATTATGGCTGACCTCCAAATCCTGCGTCACGCCGTACCAGAGATCAACCGCCTGATAGAACGGGTCATCTCCTTCATAAAAAGTCCGGCCCTCAGTATTGAATTCGTCTGAAAACTGGATGATAGATGTCAGTCTTTCGTCCAATGAGGTGACAGAAAACAAAAGATAGGACCCTCAGCTTACTACAAGCGTCCACTCCTTCCCATCCGCGGCTATCTTGGTTTTGGCGGAATCTGGCGTGTCCGGATCTATCAAGCCTCTTCGTATGTTCGAGAGCAACGGGCGTTCCCCTACTTCTAGACAGAGCGTATCACCCGAGTTACATTTAGGCCCAGATTTATCTAACATGCCTTTCACTGCCGTTCTAAGAAGCCATTGTGGTCAGTTGATGCATTTGAGCGCTATCGACGGGAGAAAATCAGAACATACATCACGGGATAGCCAATGAAAAGTGCCAGAAAGCCTAAAGTCAGCAGTACTAGGCCCGTCACATTCATGATACCGCGGCGATTCCACAAGTCGCATTGTCCTTCTTTATCGTTGGGATCTGGGTTATGCAGATAATCGTCCTTTTCCTCCGGCTCAGGAAAGAGGAGCAAGCCGTCCGTGGGCGTGATGTTGTACTTTTCGGCGACTGTCTGCGTGTTCACATCGTTTTCATCGCTATCTGCCCGGGATGGGGCGCGCGAATCTTCAAATTGGCTGTAAGGATATCCCCTCGTATCGTAACTCCCTGCCTCGGAGCTCCAGCTCGTTCGCCTTGACGAACGTATTGAAGGTGCTGGTGATCGGTATGGTTCGTACTCTTCCTTAAAACGACGTGGGCGCGGTGGTAGCAGAAATTCAGACGAATCTTGCAGATCGGAGGACCCGTATACTGTGTGTAATGTCCCAGCAGACGGTGAAAGGGCCACACCTGGTATCAAAGCTCGCCCAATTGGATGACTCGGAACTCTCGATAAGCGATCTTCTGAATCGGTAATGGGCTCATGTTGGCCGGAGTTAATTCGGATTTGAATGCGAGGGACATCCTTAACGCTATGCGTTGAAGAGCTGTCGGACATTCTGACGTAGTCCGAATACTCTCTGTAAGGATCTATGAACCTGTGTAGAGGCCAGTGCGAGAGACAGTCGCCGCTGACGCTTTGCCGACAGTTTGCTGGTAGATTGGCTATACGTTTATCACCAAAGAATGATTCCTGGCCCACCGTACCAATCCGTGTTCCACCTCCTACTCCAATCTGCTAGTCGCACTCTCGATCCTTTCGATTGCCTTATCCGAGGATCATTGCCAGAAGATACGCTCTCACAAAGACTGTGGCTTCAGGGGCCGGGAGTGTTCATTCAGCCTTGCCAAGTTGGTAGATCGAATCGATGTTTGGTATCCTCAGATACCTGGCCTGCGCGGAATGACTGACTGCTGAATCGTGACACCGATGGTGTACCAGCTGTTGGAAGAGCGTTGGACAACGGAAATAAAGATAATACTCACTTGTTACTTCCTTGAGAAAGTAAGCTCAAATAGAAAGTACTGAGAGAGACAAAGAGGGACAAAGTGGCTGGAGAACTTGAGATGGGAGTGAGAGTGTAAACAATGGGGGAAGCCCAATAGAATGTGTCACACCAAGAATTACAGGAAAAGAGAGAGAATGATCAAAATCAAGTGTGGGAGAGACAACGAAACAATGTATTGCAACTATTCAATAAGTGAAGGTAGTTGGGGGATCAGAAAGGGATAGCAGAGCAGGTTTGCAGTTCCCCGTTTGCCTAGTTGTCCCTACATAAGAATCAAGTGCCCTCTTCCTTGTTCTTCTAGCAGGTTACCGATCAAGGGATCCATATTCCATGAGGACGAACCTCGAAATACTTTGCATTCATTGGTAGTGATAACAACAGCGCTGGAACAAACATAGCAACTTTAAGCATTGAGGCAATCCGCCATGGTTACCAAGGGTCACCCTCCCATCCAGGAATGCTCTCGTTTAGGAGGGGTGATGCTTGGGAGTACTAGCCGGCATTGAAGACCCACCATCGTTGACTGAGGTCTTTGATATCCTGCAGACAGGTTCAAATAGTTGGTGGCTGTATCATGGCTGAGAACATCGGAGGTGAGTGTACGCTGTACAGCTAGTAATCAGTTAATGACATCGATCCATATAGTCATGGACTCCATTCTGAGAGCACAGTTGGCTGCAAAGACCTTCAAGTGCAGAATAAAGGAGCCAAAGGACAGAATTTGAGACTACAGAGAGTGGTTGCTAGCCAGGGTCGCTCTGGAATGGAGGATGAAGTTCAAGGGAATTCCACGGCAGAAGGGGAAGGCATGTACATAATCAAGGTCACATGTGGGGCCTCAGGCCATGAATCAGGCACACAGCAGCTAAGCCGTTTGGGGTTAGTTTGTTGATCGTTTTGGATGCTGTTCAAGCATCAAGGATTCAAGGACCAGCAGAACCATTACATATAACCACAAGAGTCAACAGCGTTAATATGTGGTGAGATTTATCTCGAGTCAGCCCAGTTCATTTTCTGCTGGTACTCTTTCCCGTTGATGACTTCGCTGAATTGAGAACACCGCAACGAGGGAGACAATCCATCCTCTACATACAAGCTAGCACAGCAACGACGACAACAACAATGGAGCCAAGGACAATCTGTCTTGTCAATGACAGTTAAGGTCTATCTACTTATTGGTTTACTGAATCCAGATGCTGAGATCAATTCCAGCTGATGGACTCCAAATGTCTCAATCAGACATGTAATCACACACATGACGGCCTAAAACAGGGCCATTCCAGAACACGCGTCCTTTTCTGCAGCTGTGAACCTTGACTGCTACTTGCAGGGTAATGATATGCATCAATGTTTTTATTGAGGGGCTCATCATAATGTGTCAACTGTCAACTCTTCAGTTATAGTCGGTGAAGGCCAGAGAAAGCTGCTGATGAGCTACCACGGTGTCTGCCAAATGGACAGTTCGTCGTCATGCTTATCCTCATTCCTCCAACAAGACAGACAAATACCCATATTCTGCCATTCCAACAGGGCCAAAAGTCATTCAGCCTCCTGAAATGTGCGTCCTAGCAGGCAGTCACTCACGAGGTTGTCAATTGTGATTATGCTGAGAGCCCAGCACATAGATTGCCCTACAATTTGACTTGCCACATTACTCTAGTTTGGATTGTCGATGCGTAGCTCTATGTATTTTAGCTCTTTCTCAGTATATCATGATATCAATGGGGACACCAGTAGTTAAGGATTTGGACGAAGACCAGCCTTCTCTGGGAACTATCAGCCGAAAGCTGATGTCTTACATGAGGCATACGGAAGCGCTGATTGTAGAATGACATATATGCATCTGGATCCGCATAATAATCATAATGCTCTGCAGACCAAGATCTCGCATGCAGGACTTAGTCAATTTCCACAATTGCGTATCGATACGGTTGCCGGTTTGGTTACTTATTTCCCGTGCAAGAGAGAATATATATCTTGCGTCGACTTCGTACATAAATACTTTGTACAATAAATCCTGAAGACACTAGAACTAAAGAGGCCAAGATATCTTAGACATATATCACGTTAATCGTCATCTGGCTATATCAATTGCAAGATCACAGCTGATCGAACACACCAGAGAAAAAATGCAAGCTAAGACTCGATCGCCTTCGCCCTCAATCCCACAATAGTCCCTCCCTCAGCGTCTAGTCCCAAAATATAATACTGGACGCGCGATTTGCCAACTTCCACCCGGTACACCTTAACCTCTACATCCGATTCATCGATGCCAGGCTCACCACCACCAAAAGCTTGCGCGACCGCGGCCCGCACCGCGCGCAGAGCAGCCGAATAATGGTTTTTAGGATCAAAGGTCGAAGGCGTCAATGTCTCAATGGACGAGGAGAGGTCAGCGTCAGGTGAGATGAGTCTCGAGAATTCGGCTGTGCGGATAAGGCATCGTTAGCAAATGCACTTTTTCAGGCAGTCCGACTGTCCATTGGGATACACGAACCAGGACCGGGCCAAGTTCCCTTATTCGCGCCCTCCCATCTCAATGTTACCGGCTCAAAGGGCTCGTCTGTCTCGGAGACGTAGTATGCATCCACTGATCTGAGTGGAGCGGGGATCTGGACGCCAACATCGACGGTCTCCGTGCGCACGCCGGACGACTGCTGAGTTTGTTGCCCTCGAGCGTTATTAAGGTCTGCGTTGGCCTTATCCAAGAAGGACATGTAAGCGTCGTCTGAAGACATGGTTCGAGAGATGATGGATTTGCGGCGAGGGTTCGGTGACGGGATGCTGTAGTGGGTTTGACGGGACGAAACTAGGAGTGTCTGATTCTGCGGAGAGGTTCGAATACGCAAGTGGGAATATAAGCGACAATGGGAGGTAAGAGTAAAACTCCGAGACTTTAAGATCAGAGACTGGGGAGAGAGGGTAGCCCGATTTGGTGATGCAGTTAAAGTTGAAGCCCAAACCAGGTTGCGATTAATGACGCAATAGACCGTGCGGCTCAGCTGCCACCAACGCATGGGTGCTTCAACAAACGGCCAGTGCCTCTTAGAATCGACAATTGGATAAAGATATGTAAGTAGACTGCAAAATGACACATGGCAGGAATGACGAAGTTTCGTCTGCAGCAAATGAGACCTAGGAGAGGGCAAAGAAATTACAGGAGAGATTTCGGCAGGCGCAAACTTTTATCCTCAAGCCCTTGGGTCACAACTCTTTTATACATACAGTAATTTTGGAGGGTACACTACTTGATCGCCTTGTGAAGACTTTCTTCTTTGGAACATCATCATATTACCTTAAGCTACATGAGTACTTGGAAACAGGCATCACTGATCATTCAGCGGAAGGCGTAGGCTTTTAAGGTATTGTTCGCTTTTTTATTGAAAAATGTAAGAAGCTGCACTACACCAAACCGACATAAACACCTTAAGCAGAAGTAACAAGGTCCTTCTTGAGGGTACCCATGAATGCACGCTTCTCCTCGGGAGTCTGGAAAGCACCGTGGCCGAACTTGGAGGAGGTATCGATCCACTTGAGCTCGACCTTCTCGGTGGCTCTCCGGCTGGTCTGGGGGTACAGGGTCTTGCGCAGAGTCATAACACGCTTCTTGACACCAGGAACGGAGCCCTTGACCATGACATAGTCGTTCTTGACCTCACCATAGCGGACGAAACCACCCATGCTATAAAGAGATTTCATCAGTGATATTGTTCACTTGAGCAATCCAGTTGATTTGGTACTTACGGAGTAATCTGCTTCTTGGAGATATCGAACTCGGTGGAGGCGTTACCCTCGTCAGAGCCCTTGCCAATGCGGAAGACCTTGTGGTTGCAAGAGGTACGGTGGTGGTAACCCATCTGACCGGCACGGGCAACAGTCCACTGGACGTGGCTAGGGTGCCAAGCACCGATACAAGCAACCTTACGCAGACCCTTGTGAGTCTTACGGGGAAGCTTCTTGGTGCCCCAACGGCTGGTGACACCCTGGAAACCGTGACCCTTGGTGACGGCAATGACATCGATCATCTCGTCCTTCTCGAAGATGCTGTCGATCTCAATGGGCTTCTCGAACAGGTTGCGGGCGAAGTCAACCTTGTCGGCAACGGAGCCACCGTTGACCTGGATCTCCATCAAGTGGGCCTTCTTCTGCTTGAGAGGGGTCTTGCGGACCTGGGTGTGGGCGAGGACACGGACGACAGTGCAGTACTTCTTGATGCGCTCAAGCTCACGGGTGATGGAGGCACCGTTCTCCTCTGCGTGCTTCTTGGCGTACTTGGTGAAGGCCTTCTTCTTGCTCTTGTACCAGTTCTTGTAGAAGCGGCGCTTGACCTCGTCGCTCAGGTGCTCAGCCCAGACGGTGGTGAGCGAGCGGAGACCACGGGGAGTCTCGATGTAACCGACAACACCGACAGCAACAAGCTATAAACAAGTAAAGTGTAAGTGACCGTCCAATTCCGTAACCAACCAAATCCAGGGGTCAAGGGACATACAGGAGGAGTCTCGATGATGGTAACAGCCTCAACAATCTCCTTCTTGTGCATCTTGGCACCGGGTCTGTCAAGGTCACGGACGACGGTGGTCATACCGGCCTTGTAACCCATGGAGGCCGTCAGGTGGACGGGCTTCTTGGGGTCATCCTTGGGGAAGCTGTCGCACACTCAGCATACTGTCTTTTTTTTGGGTCTCGAGATTGAAAATTGTAGCGGCTAAACTAACCTCTTGACCTTTCCACGGTGTCTGGCAGCGCGCTTGCGCGGCAGGAAGGCAAGAGAGCCTGTGAGGACGTTGGTCAGTATATCGCACACACACAGAGCGCAGAAATTTCGACGCCATCGAAGGAGGAAAACGAGGTTGACGAACCGTGCCGAGGCGCTTCGTACTTCCGGTGACTCCTGAAAAAAATATAAAATCAGCGATTCAATTCTTTAACATCAATAATTAATCTGTATTCGAGCGCAAAACTTACATCTTGACCCTGTTGTCGTTAGTCGTCGAAGTGGTGAGTGAGAGTGTCTATCTCTAAGTTTGCCGAAGGTCGTTATTTTGCACGGTAAACGAATGTGGGCTGACCTAAGCGAAGTCTTGGCGACACATTTCCTCTTGCGGATAAGCGACCCTGTTGTGACTAAGGCACTGAAAATCCGCAGCTCGCTGCCTGAGGCACATATTGCTCTGAACCTTGTCCTCTACTAGCAAAGTCCGCACCTGCGATGGCCACAAGGCAAAACTCGTCGTATAATGGTATTCAATCACATTCCACTTATCTCAGCATTGTACAACTTACCCAACTTCGTTTGAGATATATGACTGAAGAGGTTACCGTGGAGAGAAGAAATGTCGTAACATCAAATTTGACTTGATTCAACTGCTTGCAAACTACCTACCACATCGAAATTCCCACTTCTTTCAAGAATACAAAGCTGCGTCTACAACAAAGTCAACGCATTCAACCCAATACCAAAACCAAAAATCGTGCTCTGAAAAAGATATTGTCATTTCTGAAAGAAGAGTTCTGAATCATGCACAGGGAAAATTGAAGGGCAATCGAGATGAGAGAAGATATCTGGACAAAGGGGGGCTCGAAAGACGGGTACAAGAGAGGGCGTAAACAAGTAATAGTTCCTCGTAGCTACGACGCCGATGGCTTTCATAGAGTACAGACTTGAATGCGTAAGTAACAGCTAGCGTGGATGCCACCGGAAAGGAGAACCATATAGAAGAAAGGAAAGGGGAATTTTGAAGGGGAAACGAGGGTACGAAAGATTGTTCATAACAGACATCTTCGCTTGTACAGCGCCATCTTGCAATCATCAGATGGGCTACGTGGACAAGAGCTGATCATGTGTTTAGGCTGCAGACTCCTGTTTCGACTGGGAAGTCTGGGCGCCACTGCTCAGCACCCCGTTGCTGCTGCTGCTACCGGCAGCAGGACTGCCCTTAGCGGCAGTGCTGGTTCTCTTCTCGTCATCTCCATCGTCGTCATAGTTCTCATCGACGTCCATCTTACGCGCAGCAGGCTCATGGGCTGGAACTTGCTCACTGCGAGCCGGTTCTTCCTTCACCTGCGCCTGGGTTGATGGAGTACCTGCCTGAGGCCCGTTGGAAGCCGGGGCAGGGCCCTCATTCATGGGAGGGAGGCTCGAACCGGTCGCGTGTTGAGGCATGTGCTGAATGGATGGCAGGGTTGGAGGATGGTGGGCAGCCTCTGATGGATGGTAGCTCTCGTTCACGCGGCGCTGGTCCTCGCGTCGCGCCTCCGACGAACCACGACGTTGCATCTCGCCAGGCGACGGCATGCGGTTCGGAGGGGTTACGCGGCGAGCCACCTGATCATCCAAGCGGACACGGGTTTCCTCATTGGCAACCTTCTTTGAAGGGCCCGGTTCCCCTTCCCACTCCCGACCCCGCTTCATTGCCGAGGTTGGGCGATCTTCACGTTCTCGAGCAGCGGCTTCGGCAGCAGTGATCGCAGAAGCTGGAGCAGGCGCACCACCTGCGATGCCAGTGCTACTAGCCCCCTGAATTGGCACACTCGGGCCGTGATGATACTGCTGGTGAGGGTAGGTAGAACCGGGCGACGATGGTCTCTCCTCGCGAATGGGCCGGATCTCTGTCGGCGGGGTGAACGGGCGAGGGTATGGTGGCAGAGGTCCAACAGAAGCAGGGGCACCGTTAGGCCCAGTTGGGCCTGTGGGGGGTGCAGCAGAAGTAGGAGCGGGTGGCAAGGGTCCGCGAGTAGCAGAGGCAAAAGGAGTAGGACCGGCGGGAGCTCGATCATGTGGCGGCGGTGGTGGGTTGGGTAGTTGGGGCAGTGCGTGTGCAGGTGCAAATGCACCTGGGCCCGCAACCGTGGTCTTGGGAGAACGAGCTGCTGGAGCACGAACACCATCAGGGAAGGCCCTTCCAGGCTCTTGTCGTGGGCTTGGTTGCTGAAGAGCGACCGGGCCCCGAACTTGGTCACGATGATCGAAACCGTTGGCTGGCTGGGGCTGCGCCTGATTCTGAGACTGCACTTCGTTGATGCCGCGATTCCAGTCGGCGATCTGCCTTGGAGGAGCGGGAGGCTGGGGAGGCGGGCCTCCAGTTGGAGCTGGTGCTCCCCACTGTGGAGCTGGAGGAGCGCCCACACCAGGAGCCTGGTACGCCTGTGGATGAACGTCCTGAGGTTGAGGAGCAGGCGCAGGTGCACTGTTCTGGTTGGAGCCTGAGAGCTGGCTTTGCAGCAGTTGCAGACGAGCCTTGATGTGGACATTAGTAGGATCAAGATCGGCGGCGCGACCATAAGCGTCAAGAGCATCCGCAATCTGGTTGTTGCAGGATTCATACTACAAGAGCGGTGGTCAGCGACTTCGGTCTCCCGCGCGTTTTCTCCCCAAGCAAACTCCGCGCAACTTGACTTACAAGAGTTCCCAGATCGTACCACACCTCCGAGATGTAAGGATTCAAGCGGATTGCACGAGAGTAAGCGTCCAATGCATCGCGATACTGGTTGATCTGATAGTACAAAACACCAATCGAACACCAGAAAGTCGGATTGCGTCCATCACGGTAGACAGCCTGTTGATATGCTTCGTAGGCCTTGGGATACTTGGCTTGCGACATGTAGCAACGACCAAGAAGGTACCAGCTTTGTGCGTCGCTGTTGTCTAAAAAGAAGCAAGGCTTGTTAACGCTTGCTCAGGGTCGACGACGTGAGCTAACAACATACCTGCGCTAACAGATTTTTCAAGGTATTCAATGGCCTTTTCTTGACTTGCATAGCTGTTGCTTTGCTGGTGGTAAAGCCAACCGAGTTGTTGAAGTACCTTTGCATGGTTGGGATCACGGTCTAGGACCCTCCTATAGGCTGCCTGGGCAGACTCAAACTGTGATGTTGTCAGCCTATATATGAGCAGCCAAGCGAGATTATAAAACAACTTACGTCCTTCTGTTGCTCATGAACGTGGCCAATCTGGAACCAGATATCTTCCTCCGTAAGAGGACGAGGAGGGTCGCTGACAATGTACTTGAAGCACTGA